GGGCTGGGGATTCGAACCCGCCACCTTAGGTGTACGTGGCTGGCGCCTTAGCCGGTTGAGCTATAGGCGCTGAGCCTATTTAATTATTTTTGAGGCAGGGTTTCACTTAGTTGCCCTCAGTAGAGTGCTGTCGTGTCATAGCTCACAGCAACCTCAAACTCTTGGGCTCAAGCGATCCTCTTGTCTCAGCCTGCCCAGTAACTGGGACTATGAGTGCCTACAACACCAGACTATGTTTTTTAGAGATGGGGTCTTGGTCTTGCTCAGGCTGGTCTCAAACTCCTGAGCTCAAGCAATCCACTTGCCTCAGCCTTCATTAAACTGGTTTTTAAATGGCAAATACCACATAAATTAATTCACTTTATGCTGCTGTTCATTGTGGGGAATGGGGAGATTACAAACAAAATCTGAATGAGAAAACAGATCTAATGTTCTAGAAGAGCACAGTTAATTCCATTCAATGAATCTATTCATTAAGAACAACAAACAACCCACAAACACAGCCATCCATTCTAATCACTTACAACTTGGATCATTAATGACCTGGTGATGGTAGAGGTCACTAACGGGCACAGTTAAAATGCTGCCTGTTAATATGTTTGAATTAAAAGAAATTCCACAGTTGTTTAATGAAATACAGAAATTAGGGCAAGAGCTCTAAGCCACTGCCTTATTAACAGAAATGGGGTTTGGAAAACATTACTGAATACATAGAATTTCTTTTAACCTACACAGCAAATACCAGTTTATAGAGGGAACCCCCGTAAAGTTAAACTATCAATTTAACAGTTGTGAAGTATTACTGTTTTTTAGAAAAAGCCAGAGTCTCACTCTGTCTCCCAGAGTGGGGTACAGTGCAGTGGCAGGATCAGAGCTCACTGCAGCCTTGAACTCCTGAGCTCAAATGATCCTCCCACCTCAGCTTCCCAAATACCTGGGATTACAGGTGCCCACTACTGAGCCTGGCCAGTTAAAAAATATATATGTATCTTTTTTTAGTAAAGATGGGGTCTATCTTACCCGAACTAGTCTTGAACTCCTGGCCTCAAACAAACCTCTCTTACTTTAGCCTCCCACAGTGATGAATTACAGGCATGAGCCACCAAACCTGGCCTTGCTATTCTTTGCTCCTTCCCATGCTAGATTATCTGCCCGCCATTATCTTGACTCTGCGTCTTGCTATTCTTGACTTTGTGTCTCATCTATTAAATAATTTCCTTTTGACTTGGGTTTTAGTTCTTGAGGCATGAACAAGGTGGGGAAGAGAAGAACTGTCTATTAACTACCAGAAAGTTGGGAAAGACATACTAAGGACCAAGCAGGTTCCTTCTTGAGAAATCATCAATAAACCTCTTTAAAAAAAAAAAAAATCAGTCCAGGGAAATGACTGATGGTTATTGCATTTTAAGATACTGAAAGAAACCTTACAACGAGGGAATGGATTCGATTTAGTAAAAGACATACGGGAGAGAATTTATATAACCCGGCTAGGCCTAGGAACCACATCCAGATTTTCCTAACTAAAAATGCATTGAAAGTTGTTTTTGTGACTGTAACTTTACTTGATGGCACACAGATCACGATGCGAAAGTGGCAGCTTTATTGGAGAGGAGGGAGGATTATCTTTGTGTAACCACTAGTCTACATGCAAATGAGAAGATATGAGTTTTACTGAATGTTAGTGGCTGTGGTGGTAATACAGGGGGTACATACACTTTTACATATACTTTTTATTTTTTGAGATTGGGTCTCTCTGTCAACCAGGCTAAAATGCAGTGGCACAATCATAGTCTGCTGCAGCAAAAAACTCCAGAACTCAATCAATGCACCTGCCTCAGCCTCCAGCTAGCAGCATAGGCACGTGCCACTACACCCAGATAATTTTTCTATCTATTACAGAGACAGGGTCTAAGACCACTATGTTGCTGAGGCTGGTCTCAAACTGATCTCAAGTGATCCTCCCACCTCAGCCCCCTAAAGTGTTAAAATTACAGGCGTGCGCTACCTTCAGCCTTAAAATAGAGGGTGCCAAAAAAATGTATACACATTTTGAAAGGAAAAAAAACTGTTGTAATACTCAAGTCATGTTTGACTTCTGAATTACAAGAGGTCCTCAGTGTTGACTTGTATTCATCTTATATTATCGGTATATACTGGATATTTTAACAGTTTTTTCCCTTAAAATGTGCACACATTTTCTTAGCACCCTCTGTGTATGTTTATGTACATACGTAAATACATTCAGTGCCACTCACAGTTCCTGCTGTGACTTCTATGCATAGCTCCAAAACAATTCACTATGTTTTTGTTTTTAATTTCCCATAACATGAACAGAAGAGGACTCCTTGATTTCTGTACAACCAAGAAAAATAAAACACGAAGCATTTTTTAGTTGGCATTTTAATCTAATAGTTATTTGGATCAGCTCTTGAGCATCCTGTTCTTGTTATCAGGTCTGAAACTGCTGGACCACGGGAGACCGAGTGGCTCCTAGATAGCCCTAGCTTCCTTTCTCCAACAGGAATGCCACCAAATGGTGTTTCCAAGGATAACATCCAGTTCTTAATCAAGCCAAGGGCATTCGATACAATCATAATAGGACTAAAACAGGTTTCAAACTGCTGAGAGGTTTACCTATGTGTTTTAAAGTTGATGACTTGTTTATCCATGCTATTATAGATCTCTAAAAGAAAATAACTTGTTGGCTCAGTGCCTGTGGCTCAAGCAGCTAAGGCACCAGCCACATACACCTAAGGTGGCAGGTTCGAATCCAGTCTGGGCCCGCCAAACAACAATGACGGCTGCAACCAAAAAATAGCCAGGCGTTGTGGCGGGCACCTGTGGTCCCAGCTACTGGGGAGGCTGAGGCAGGAGACTCGCTTGAGCCCAGGAGTTGGAGGTTGCTGTGAGCTGCGATGCCACGGCATTCTACCCAGGGGGACAGCTTGAGGCTCTGTCCACCCCCCCAAAAAAAGAAAATAACTTGTTAAAACAAAAAAAAACAAGCTTAGTTTTAAACAACTATTTTGAATTCAGCAGAACACATTCTTATCAAGATCAGCACGCAGCAACAATGGGGTTCTTGTCATGGCCTTAATATGTCATATTCTGTGTTACTCAGATTTCACATGCTTCAGAAAGAAAAAGCCTGCAGAGGTTTGGTATTTTATGAAACATACAAACCTTTATATTGAAAAAGAAAAGAAGTTTGTCAACCTAAGACTGTGCTGGGGAGGCCCGCAGGCGCCGTGCTGTGCTAAACTAACAGGCAGTGAGCGTTTCCTGTCAGGAGCCTTGTGACCAGGCACATGACTGGTTCCACAAGCGACCCACTCTCTACAAAGCTCACACATCATCTAAGAGGAAAAAATAGTCTAGGTGGAGCCCGAAACAAACAAGAACATGACACTGGATGGTAGGGAAGGGAAGTTCCTGAGGAAGAACTAAAACTGCTCTTCTGCGTAGAAGTGCGAGGCTTTGAGGAAGGGCAGCTGACTGACCCTTGTTTGTCCCCCTCGGAGGAAGACCACAGTGCAAAGTCTCAGATAAGCAGGCTTTGGGGAGAGAGAGGAAAGAGTGGATGGTTTGTACAGCACTCCCAACAGGTATTTCCTTACAAGTGGTGGAAAGTTTCCCAAGGGCAACTCGACACTGGCTGTGAGCCTTCATGTGGCATATGGAACAAATGCCGCCTGCCACTTAGTGTCTGAATTTTTTTTGCTGTTGTCGTTTAGTGATTCCTAAGTGTGTTCCAAATTATGTTGCTAGTTTGGCTTAGACAAAAGACAATTTAATAAGAAACAAATGTTGGACAATTCATGTTGCATCACCATCTGGCCTAACACAAATATTCATTTAAAATGTATATATCATCATGTGCCATCTGTCTGTTACACATTTTATGGGAAATCTTAAGTTGGACAATTAACTGATACCACTTTAAAACAAACATCTCTGTACCAGGATAAACAAAGAAAATAGGCTTTGAGCAGAATCCATGCTAAATTGCACGCCAATTTTAGTGGCTTAAACAAACTAGCATTTATCATGCTCAGATGATCAAAAAAACAGAAAAGGTAAAAGCAAGGATAACATCATCTCTGTCCTAAATTAAAGCTATTTAGTAAACAGAGACTTCGGAAAAGTATTTGAAATAAAAAAGAGAACACTTTCTTTTACATACTCAAATGTGTAAATAGGATTGTACCTCCCAAAGACCAATACTCCCCTTTCCCTCTCTCACCCTCTCTTCTGGCCTGAAAGTGACAGAAAGGTGATGGGAGGTTTCCTTCTGAAGATAAATTTCAGCAATAAACTGTTCAGAAGTAAATTGTATATATTACTCACTTTGTAAAAAAAACAAAAACAGATCCTTGTTTCTTATTGTATAATAAAGTTAAGATACCTTAATTATTTTGTTTAAAAAACATGTATTTCAGGGGAAGAGGGAGGGGGATGGGGTTATGGTCTATGGTACACCCTTTGGGAGTGGGCTATAATTACCAGAGCGACTCTATCTAACAAATGCAATCAGTGTAACCTAATTCTTTATATCCTCAATGAATTCCAAACAATAAAAAAAAAAAATTTAAAAATAAAACCTTGTATTTCTATTAAGACAATAATAAACCTTATTTTAAAGTTTAACCCCCTGAGACCTCTCCATCCGAATACTAGTTACTAGCATTCAGATTCTAAGTTACATTTGCCTATATTTTTCTTTCTTACA